GAATGATAGCTTTCTCTCTTAAATTGAGAAGGCTTAAAGCCAAGCTTAAAGAGTGGAATAAATCGTGTTTTGGTGATGTCTTCGCCAACTTGAAGGAAGCAGAAGCAACTGTGCAACACTTAGAAAAGCGTCACGATCTATCCGGCTTGGAGGGAGACAGAATGAACCTGCATAATGCAAAGGCTTTGTTGCTTTTGAGACTTAAAGAACAAGAGGATTTTCTAAGACAAAAAGCACGAATCAGGTGGTTGAAAGAGGGTGACGCTAACACCTCCTACTTTCATGCTTCTTTAAGAGAAAAACGGCTGAGACAAAATATCCATAAAATTCAGGACCGACAAGGAATCATGCTAACTGATTTGAATGCCATTGAGCGTGAAGCTGCTGGTTTCTTTGAGGATCTTTTAAGAGAGGATGCAGCCTATGGATCCTCGCATGAGGCTGCGCATGAGGTTTTCTTGCAACATATCCCGGTTATTTTGGGGGCTGAGGACCATGACCTTCTCTTGCGTCCCATCTCATTAGAGGAAGTCAAAGGAGCTGTTTTTAATCTGAATGAAGAAAGTGCTCCAGGTATAGATGGATTCACTGGTGTTTTTTACCGAAGTTCCTGGAATGTCATCTCGGAGGATCTTTGGTCCGCATGCAAAGAGTTTATGCTTGGGGTGCCAGTTCCACAAGCTATTGCTAGCACTCTGATTACTTTGCTCCCAAAAAAGCATATGTAAGTACTTTTTCAGATTTTTGCCCAATTAGTCTTTGCAATTTCCTCAATAAGATTTTTACCAAAATTTTGACTGAGCGTTTGAAGGTGGTGTTACCAAAAGTTATTTCTGAGGAACAGTCAGCTTTTTTGTCCGGAAGGGACATCATTGATAATGTTCTGTTGGCACATGATCTTTTCCAGTTCATAAATCGCAATGCAGGGGGGGGGGTAATATTGTTTTGAAAATTGATATGATGAAAGCATTTGATAGGGTTAAGTGGAGCTTCCTTGAATCTATTTTACTGAAGTTTGTTTTTCCACCACTTTTTGTAAAATTAGTCATAAATAACCTCCAGAACAGTTGGTTTTTTGTGTTGATAAATGGTAGTCCGGCTGGTTTGTTTAAAGCCCCCCGAGGAATCAAGCAAGGGGATCCGTTGTCGCCTTACTTGTTCATCATAGTTTCGGAGGCTTTAACTAGAAGATTGAAAACTCTAGTTTTGGACGGTAAGATAGCTCCCTATGGATCTCCTGCTGATTCACTTGTGGTCTCCCACTTGTGTTTTGCAGACGATTTGATTATTTTTACAAAGGGGACTCAAAGATCTCTACGAAGGCTACACACTTTCTTTGAGCAATTTGAAAAAGCTACATGCCAAAAAATCAGTAGGGGTAAAAGCTCTTTCGTGGCCTCGGAGAAGTGTAGTTCCAGAAGAATAGACATGATCAAAGGTACATTGGGAATGCAACATGGCGCGTTTCCCTTCACATATCTAGGTTGCCGGATATTTAATGGGAGAAAAAAGGAGGCTATATTCCAATTTCTCTTGGACGCTATGGATGCTAAGCTCCTGAATTGGAAAAACAAGTTTCTATCCCCGGGAGGCCGGCTCATGCTGATTCGGTATGTTTTGAGTTCTATGCCACTTCATGTATTCTCAGCAATTCCACCACTGAAGTCGGTCATTAGGGCTATGGAAGCTTACTGCCAAAAGTTTCTTTGGGAAGGATCAAGTGAGGCTAAAAAGCGGCATTGGCGCTCCTGGGAAAGAGTCACTTTTCCGGTACATGAAAATGGCCTTGGGTTGAGAAGTTTTGAGGATGTTATCTCTGACCTCACTTCAAAATTATGGTGGAAATTGAAGAACAACAAGGGCATTTGGAGTGCCTTTCTCCACTCCTTGTCTCATTCAGCTAAGGAGAAGACCTCTTGGGCTAGGGTAATGAAAGTTGGTGAGCGAGCTATATCATTCTCTAAGATTATCGTACGAAGTGGAGATCAATCCTTCTGGTTTGACAATTGGGGTCCTAATGGTGTCTTTTAGGTTAATGCTTTTGATGAGCCTCCATGGCCGGACCTTTGCATTCGAGAATTTCTGGAGAATAAAGATCAGTACCTACCGGCTTTACAGGCCTCCCTTAGTCCAGCAAACTTTGCCTTCTTGGAAAGTTTTGATATAGATTTTATGGAAGGTGAAGATATTCTTGTTTGGCAAAGTACTCCTCAAGGACATTTTACGGTAAAATCCGCCTTTGAGTCACTTCGATGGAGGCAGCAACTAGATTTGATGCTTAAGCCTTTGTGGCACAAGTTCGTTCCTTCGCGCATCTCTTTCTTTCTCTGGAGATTGCGCAATGGTTTGCTTCCATTCCCTGAAACTGTTAGTGCCTTTGGTATATCAACAAGGCCTTCTATGTGTCTCCTCTGCAGAAACAAAAGTGATGATTTGCATTATTGCTTTTATGGTTGTAATTTTATTACAGCTATATGGGATCATTTTGCTCTTGTTATGAGTGTAGAAGTTCGGGGGCATAGCACTTTGTTGGGTCTATTGAAAATGTGGTGGCGCCATGGATCTTTCGCATCAGCAAAAAAGTCTTTGTATCACTTATTCCCCATCTTTATTCTTTGGGAAGTTTGGAAGGCAAGAAATAAGGCAATCTTTGAAGGAGTTCAGCCCTCTGTAAGCTCGGTCATTCACCTTATCCATCATCAGGTTAAAGACTTAATCTTTATTCATGGCTTAAAAGTAGTGGATGAAGCTGAAAATTCTATTATTTTAAACCTTTTTGGATTTCACTTGACTCGAGCTAATAAAAGGCATCCTAAAATAGTGAGATGGATTCCCCCAAATTCGAACTATTTTGTTTTGAATTCGGATGGCTCATCTAATACTAATGGGGCTGGTTATGGTTTTGTCATCCGAAGAGAAGGTGGTAAGTTCATTTATGGAGAAATTGGATATTTGGGTGAGGGAGATTTTTTCCAAGCAGAAATCTTTGGTATTCTATTTGGACTTCGCAGGTGCGAGCTCCTACAACTTTCAAATGTTAGGGTACAAACCGATAATCATTCTCTGTCTTGTATTTTGAATGAGAAGAGAGGATTTCCATGGCATTTTTACTTGGAGTTGACAGAGATGTGCTCTATCATTTTAAGGAATAATTTCTTGGTCTCTCATATCTACAGGGAAGGCAATGCAGTTGCAGATTTTTTAGCTAAACAAGCATCAAGTGGAGTATCTATTGCTTACAATTGTTTTGTATCACTGCTTCCTTTTGTAAAGGGACTTTTGATATTAGATCAATTGTCCTTTTCATATGTACGAAAGTAGTTCTATGGCTTTGTACAAGGGTAAGACATAAACACTGCCCTCCTTTTTTCCACATTTTAATAAAATCAAGGATGGGTGAAGCTAGGGAACTATATAGTATGAATGTACATCCCTTGGGTAGAGCCCTTGGGTGCATTGTACTATATAGCACTGCCTACCTCCAAAATTTACCTCCTGGGTAGACCCCTTGCCTTCCTGTTGAGTTAAAAAAAAATGTGTTAAATCCTTTTTATACCCTTAATTAAATATTTCTAGTTTTTATCACAAGTCAAATATCAATATTACAGCTAACAATAATTACTAATCCCAGTATACCACCCACCCAAGATTTCTATTGTTCCAGCTAACCAACCATAAACAAAAGTAATCTAAAGCATCTTTTTTTTATTATTATTATTAAAAGTTCCATTCCTCTGGTAATGAATAAAAGTGATGCGTCTTTGAATATGTTTTGGTAAACTAAAAGAATGATGATGCGTCTTCCAAATTGTCGTCGTTCAATTGCCGCAGTTTGGTTTGCTTAGCATTGGAATTGAGGAGAGTTTGAAGAGTTTTAGTCCTTCCCAATGTCAAAGTTGCATAACTAATGGTTATCTGTCATCATTAATAGGGGTAAATTTGGAAGAAAAATAATTAATTTGTCTAGATTCTCTAAAACGACTTACATTATGAAAAATCCTCCCAATCCTAAAACGACCTACAAACTGAAATGGAGGGAGTAACAGAGAAAATTATATTGATTTCCTCACAAAAAGAAGACCGCAGTCACAAGTTTGGTTTTTTCTACTTAATTTAATGTTTAGATGTTTCTTGTATTAAAATCTGTTGGGGTGTAATTGGGGGATTAATGCCACATAGTAAGAAAAAGTTTTTGAGAGATAAATTTGTACTCATTTGTGATTGGTCATGATGACTAAAAACGTAGGCTAATTACTTTTCTCACTATGAACACTAATCAAATCGGGTCACTCTTCTCTTATGTGCCCTTGCCATTTTACTTCTATGTTTTGTTAAAAAAAAACCAAAAAACAAAAACAAATGGGCAGAAAGAGAGCCAACTTCCGCTCTATGTTAGAGGTTGTAATTAAACTCTCAGTTAGTTTAGTTTTATTTAAAAATTTAAAATTTTATATTAAAAAATTACCATTAAACGATGGAGTGATATTGCGATATGTGGATATGACTATCTAATTTTTTGCCATGTGGATTATCTTATTTAATTTCATGTCATGTGTCCAATTGAAAACTCTCATTTAATATATATAGAGATATAGATACTCCCTCCGGTTCCAAATACTTGTCGTTGGGAGTTTTTTCACACAGATTAAGAAAAGAGATAAAATAACCACATTACCCTTATTTACTCCTAATCTACCTCTAATCCCAATATCCACCTTAAACACAACTTCTCCTTGGAAATATTCTGATAATACTAGTAGTAATACAGAAGGTCGGCTGTGTAATCCGATGCAATAAAAGTTTGATTTTTTTTTTGGCCAAACTACCCAAACCACTTCCATTAAAACATGCTCAGTGATCAAAAAATTAAGCGGCCTTTTTTTGCCTTGCTAATCAAAAAAATGAGCGCCTTTTTTTGCTTAAAATTTTTTAAATTTTGTTTCTGATCCTTATTTATAGTCAGGAATTGATGCAAGGAAATAAAAAAATGAGAGGAAACAATGAATTCAGCACAAGGTGATGATGCTAATGGTGAAAAGTTACTTTTTGATCTCAATAGTAGTCCTCCATCCGAGGGTGATGAAAATGGTGAAAAATTACTTTTTGATCTCAATAGTACTCCATCCAAGAGTTTTTTGTTGGATGGTGAAAGGAAGAATAATCACCTAGGTACAATCAACTTAAACTTGGAGCAATATGGAAATATAGATGTTATTTACTTGATGGGTGATTACTCTGATGAAGAGTTTGAAGAAGGATTTGTTGGTTTTGAGGAAGAGTGTGAAGAAGAATTTGAAGAAGACTTTGTTGGTGATAATTTTGAAGAAGATTTGGAAGAAGACGTTAAGGGTGATCAACAAGTCTTTGGTGTCCACTTAGAGGAACAATTGGAACAAGAAACTAATGATAATAATTTGGAAGAACAACAAGGTACGTCACAATTTGAATGTTTTTTTTTTTCCACTCAGTTTTATCATGAATAGAGTTCCGAATTTTTGATTACCATTCACATAGAATATAGTGCTATATGGTCATTAATTTATTTACATAGATGTAGTTTCTCCAGAATGTTCGTAGCAATGTTTTATGGAGATTATGCAATGTGTGGCTATTCCTTCAATTCGTAGCTTGTTTGTTGTAATTTTTGGGTGATTGTTTTCCTAAGTTGAGATTATGAATGAAATTGTTTGGGTTGGAATGTGTGTGAAATTGATTACATTTTGCAATTGATATTTGGGTTGAGGAGGATTGGAGAATTGATATTCCCTGTTTGATGAGTTTGCATGTGTTTCATCAGAATACGCATTTTGGACTTCAAAAGGCTAATTGATTAATTGATCATCCACAAATAAGCATAAGCAGATTACTTCTCTTATTGGCTAATTCATTAGAAATATTTTTTGGCAAGGTATGAATGACAAAAAATTGGCTTTTAACACACTCTCCCTGACTCTCATCTTCTCAGCTTGTATTGGTTTTGGATGGATATTTTTTGTTCTAATTTTGGATTTTTTTTTTGGCTGTTTCTTAGTGAGATTGAGTGACAAGATGCTAATGATAATCAATTGAGTTTTAGTCTTCTGCTTAGTTGACTTTCGTAAAGAAAAAAAAATGGCACAGCCTCATTAAGTTGTGCATTTGAGCAAGTTTCTTCCAGTAACTTCGAGAGTATATAAACTGTTTCCGGAAAATGCCTGCAATATATCTGGCTGATATTTTTTTTAATCAGTATCATTAGGAAGCAAGAATTATGATGATGATGAATTGTGCGTGTGTGTGTGTCTTTTTTTTTCACCACATGAACTTCTTATTTAGCCATTTAAACTTTTATTCCGTGACTTAGGTGATCATGTCATCAAGAAAAGGAGAACTCTCACCAATGATGAACGAAGACTTGAATACAATATGCTCTTGCAAAAAAGTGTCGATGGAAGATTGCAAAGGTGGGTGACAAAAGAGGTAGCTTCGGCTTTTTCAGTTAACATTCGCACTGTTCAACGAATTTGGCAACGATCGAGAAACTCCCCTAACGGTGATGTATCAAGCCGAAAAGCATCAAATTGTGGCTGCAAAAGAATTCAGGTTGATCTTGATGGAGTTCGAGCTATTCCTTTCAATGAGCGGAGATCTCTCGAGTCTTTAGCTAAGAAATTGAATATTAGCAAGACTAAAGTCTTTAAATTGTTCAAGTCTGGAGCTCTAAGGCGCGAATCCAACACTTTGAAGCCTCATTTAATGGAGGAAAATAAAAAGTCTCGCTTACATTTTTGCATGTCTATACTTGAAGAAAGTAGCTTGCCGGATGATCCAAAATTCAAAGGTATGTATAATGTTGTTCATGTTGATGAGAAATGGTTTAATATGACTGATGACACTGTGAACATTTACCTATTGCCTGATGAGCCCGGTCCACGTCGTACTGTCAAGAACAAAAATTTTATTCAAAAAGTTATGTTCTTGACCGCCATAGCTCGTCCAAGATTTGATGCAGAAGGCAATGTTACCTTCTCCGGAAAAATTGGAGTGTGGGCTTTAGTCACTGAAGAACCAGCTAAAAGGAAAAGTGCTAATAGACCTGCAGGTACACTGGAGACAAAACCGATCAAATCTGTGGGAAGAGATGTGTACAGAAGATATATGATTGAAAAAGTCTTACCGGCTATTAGGGAAAAATGGCCGAGAGAAGATGTAATGCATCCAATATTTATTCAACAAGACAATGCAAGGACACATATATATCCTAATGATCCCGCTTTTGTGAAGCTGCAAGACAAGGTGGATTTGATATCCGAATCATCTGCCAACCTGCGAACTCCCCAGATTTGAATGTTTTGGACCTCGATTTTTTTGTTGCAATTCAAGCCTTAAAAAATACAAAATCTCCCAAGACAGTAAAGGAGCTTCTGATTGCAGTATACGAGTCATTTGAGGAATTTTGTATTGTGAAGTCAAACCGGATATTTGTGACATTGCAGCTGGTTATGATTGAAGTCATGAAAGCAGGAGGTACCCATAAACGTAATCCACCACATATTTACAAAGAAAAACTAGAAAAATTAGGCATGCTTCTTGTTCAAGTGAGGTGTGATGCTGCTTTAGTTGCAAGAGTTAGTCAAATTTTAAGTCAAGTTTAGTTTTATTGTTGGTAAGCTAGAGTTATGCATACTTTTCGTTTTGTTTTTCCTACTCTGGAACTATCCCGGTGATAGTTTTTTTTTTTTGGAAGCGGTACGTATTTTGTCATTTTTTGTTGTTGTTTGCTTTTTATATTGAAAGCAGTAGCCATTTTTTGCTTATGTTTTTTGGATGCCCGTGATCAGTGCGATCTTCTTTTTCACGTCTACATACTTTGCTATGGAAACAAAATGAAAAGATATCCAGTTTGACTTTATTTTTAGTTTTAGTTTAGAGTAGAATTGTTCAACAAATAACAGAAAGAATTTATATACTTCTTCTTCCTCCAAGTAAAAGTTGTCAATATAACACAACTAAGCACTGAATCAATAAATGCTAGTCAAAACGATTGCAAAAACAAAAAAAAATGAAAATGGTGGATAATGATGATACCCTTAGGCGATCTTTTTATGGTTTCCAACTTAAAAAAATGAAGGGGTTACTTTTCCTTTATGCTTGATCAATCAAGCTAAGGAGCATTTGCTTGGAATGAGATTAGGAGCCGCATTTGTTAATCAAAAGGTGAAGTGGGATGCCAAGTCTCGCTAAGATCTCGATAAGTTCCTTGCCAAAGCCAAAGAAGCTAATGAGCGCAAAGACGTTACTTTGATGATGACGAAGATTAGAGCTTGACAATAATTAGACTGTGATTGGATCCATTTGTTAACAGATTGTAGATGTTTGTGGCTTTCTCTGAGTTTTCACTTATATTAAGGTCAAACATCTTAGCGCTTCGAAGTTCAATCTTGTTTAGAAATTGGTCAGTAGCCTCCTCATCATCAATAATGATATGTACCCCAGCTGCAAATTTGCGACTTGCATTCACATTCCAATATGAAATTGTTTTTATAGTCAATTTTGATGCATTACTTAAAATATTGGAATCTATTCACTTGTCTGCAGCAAAAACAAAAAAGAAAATAAGCTAAGGAAATCTCTAGCTAGACTACATTCTCTATGGTTTTTGATGTTTGATTACTTAACTTATGTGTGTCAAATTTGGAATAACTCCTTAGAAAAATCGATTGAATTTGGAGAACGACTAAATCAATTAAGCAAATTTGGACCCAAATTTGGACTCAAATTTACAGCCTTGACTTCATCTTTTAACTGTATCCTTGGCAACATGGGTTAAATCTAACAATGACTGATAAAAATGAATTCTAATTGATCATCATCCCACAGTATTTTCTATGAGAATAACTCTATCTTGTCTCTGTAAGAAATTGAATATGAACAATTAAAGATCTATCATGAATACAAAAAAGTCATAAAAAAAAAAATACAAACATGAGCTCATTATAACTTCTAGCCACTGTCATTCAAGTTAATATCAGAACATCACCACTCACATTAATCATATCACAAAAAAGAAAAAGAATGGGATGAAAGCAAATAGAAAAAGATGCAGAGAATGGGTGAAATTAGAGAATTTTTAGAGATGAAATACTACTACATCAGAATCTCCAGAAAATTACAATAATATTAATTCCATTGCCCAAAACAAGCAACCAGTCGATACTCCAACATTTAATTTGATTATACAACCCACCAAAGTTATCATCCACTGATGTAACCCAAGAAAGAACTAATCTTTATAAAGATAAGGAAAATAAATTTTCAAGATTGCTTTCACGGTGTCTTTACCAAGTTTTTGAGCTTCAACACATTCTGCATTAAGTCGCTCTTTCAAATTGACTTTTTCATCTTTTTCTTCCGGAATTTCATTCAAATCAAAGCCCATGTCCGCCGGAAGATTCAAATCAAACTCCGCTGGTTTCTTCTCTTTCCTAACCTCCGTGCAATTCTTCACAATTTGGCCCTGTTGTTGGCCCTCCATCTCTTTTGTTGCAAAAGGGGCTTGAGAATTGGTGCTTTTTGCTGCAAAAAGAGTGGAGAATTGGTGGATTGATTATATATTGGCTATTTTCCTCCATTGAAGTATTGGAAGATTGAAAATTTTGGGAAGTTGGATTGACTATTCTTGAGAATTGCATGGTTTATTGAATGAGGGATTGTTGGTTGAGGGATTTTAATTATGACGAAGGAAGATGAAAATGTGAACAGCCATGGAGAATCACGATAACATTGAATATAGGTTGTTATTGTGCATGAGGGTATTTTTGGAAAAAATTGGAAAAATATACCTAGAAATGTGGAGTTTTTGACCTAAACAATTTTCTTTAAAAAAAGGTAGACCAAATTAATTTTTTTGAAATTTTTGTGGACAAATCTATATCCTTCGGATTTCAAAAATCCGAATCCGAGGTAAACTCGGATTTCGGAAATCCGAATTTAATAGAAAACGGATTTTGAAAATCCGAATTCATTTTAATTAAAACTAAAACTAATTATCCGAATCCGAGGTAAACTCGGATTTCGAAAATTCGAGTTCTCAATTTTAATTATAACTCGGATTTCGGAAATCCGTGGGATATATTCATGTCCACAAATATTCTGAAAAATTTAAATTTGTCCACCTTTGTTTTAATTAAATTTTTTAGGGAAAAGACCCTAGAAATGTGAGAACGACATATATTTGGGAATTTTTGTGGTTATCTCCAACGACAAGTATTTGAAACCGGAGAGAGTATATATTATAAATGTGGAATGTGCCGTTAATAAAACTAGTAACGATGCTTGATTTGATTTATAGGGATAGTTAAGCTTTAAAATGCCAAATTGAGATCCACGCCTCCGTTCATTTCCAAAACCCACAATATACAACTTGCTATGACGTGAAATTTCACAAATCATATCAAAGGAAAAGTATTGGTTTATTTTCTGGAACTGGTAACAAAATGCAGCTAGCTAGGCTAAAAAAAGCTTTATTAAATGGCACATGTGACATGTATGTATCGAAGCATTGCGGTTTTGTAACTACTAGTATTGCCTTGTAGTACATCTTAAAAAAAGTATATATTTACAGATACATTATTTTTAAGGCACAGAATAATAAAATAAACGCAATTTATGGTTTATTAAGTGATTATCATACTAGCATAAATAGATGATTTTAATTAATGGAAGTGTAGGGTTACTTTGTTTTTAAATGATCAGCAATTCTTATTCGTTAGAATTATTGGTGACGACACATAACATATATAGATATAATATTCTTAATCACCCCATAAAATTCATCTTATATTCTTATAGTATAAAGAGCACTTTCCCAAACAAGAAGCTAAAGTTATAGTGCACAAAAGAGATCAAGTTTCAAGGAACTAATAAGTGCTCTGTTATTTCTGCTTAACATGCCAACCTATCAGAGTAATTAACTTCTGTTAGTGCTATTTTCAATAACATTGTGAACCCACAATATGCTAATTGCAGCATTTAATTGATTGATTATAGATGTGTTTGCTAGCTAATACTAGTCTCTCGTTTCAACTTCCACATGTTGAAGAGTTGTTTAGTATTGAAGATAAAAGAGCCATGAAGGAGATCTGCAGTTAAAAAGTGTAAAAGAATTTCCTAAGATTAATGGATTTTATAGCTTCTTGCTTAAAGAAATTTTTCGCAAGATCGGTTCGATTGGTTTATTCCTTGAAAGATTTCAAAGAGTTTAACAAGATTTTCATCCCTATAATGCAAGAATTCATTCATATTTTACACAATAAAGATTTTATATTTATCAATTGTATTGTGAAAAATCTTCCCTTCTGTTTATAGAAAAGGAACTCTAACGTGTCATTACCCTATTTCAAATTAAATAGGGTAATGTAGTTAGGCAATAGTTAGAGAAACTTGATACTCTTTCCGTCCCAAAAAAAAAAACAGTTAATATTGAATTTTCAAATTTGTACTCTATTCCTACAACAAACTTTTGGGATGGAGGGACACATGTAGTATACTTTTACAACAAACTCTTGTACAATAATAATAAAATTGGCCTAGGACACATTTTTCCGAGATGGTTTTTCATGCTACAGTTGTAATAGAATGAATGATCTAGTAAGAGCATTTTTTATTTTTTTTTCCTTAGGTTGACAATTCATTTATCCAAAATCCTTTTTCCATTTTCCCAAAAAATACAGTATAACTTCTACTGTTCCCAAAATCCAGAGAGAGATACAGAAGCCAAGAATTTTCCCTCCATTTTCTTTTTTGGGGGATTTTTTTGAACAACTCAAGAAAATGGCAGCTGTAGCTCTTCGAATTCTGAATCCAAAATGCTGCTCATTTAAAGAGACCTCCAATTCCCCTGATCATTCACTCATTCCATCAGTCAATTTCATTGCACACCCCAAAAAATGGCGAAAATTGGCCGAGAAACAGAGCTCCGGCGAGCCGAGCGAGCTTACCAGGCGGCGACGGAGTCAGGCAACCGGAAGGCGGAGGTGCGTTGGGCGAATGTCATCGCCAACATCTACATGAACAATCGAGGGGCATACTTAGATGCTCTGAAGTGGATTAAGAAAGATTATGACATTTCTCAAGAATTTTTACCCGAAAAAGATATCCTTCCGGCTTGTAATACTCTTGGCGAACTCCATCTCCGGCTGCGTAATTTCTCCCAAGCCTTGTATTATCAGGTAAACAAGTTTTTCTCGATCGAGTCACTGATTTCGAATTTGATCATTGGTAGGTTTTAAAAGTGCTTAGAGTTTGTATATTGTACTGTTTTGTTACATCATTTCAAACTGTATATGAGCCTTAATTTTGTTTTTGTTTTTTTTTTTTTTCTATTTTTGGAAACCTGAACTGTCTGATAGAATGGGATTTTTGTTGTTTCTATTTAGTTGTAAATGCATTCAAAATCTGCAATGACTGGGCCCTTTATTTAGATGGAACCAGATTAATTTATGTTTTTTTTTTCCTCCACTTGAAATCATTTAGTTTAATCTTTACTCTGCAGTTTGTTGTAGTTCATTCTCTTGTCATTTTTCTTGTTTTTCTTTATCACTTTTGTTATGATACCGGAAATATTGTTTGTGTCATTTTGTTTCATAACAAGGGAGGATTGAGGATTCAAACTCATCTTTGGTACTCTTTTGGTCCCAAAATGAGTGGTCTTAAAATGAACCATGGTACATAGGTTGGTTTGAACTAATTTTCCTATTTCCAATCATGTCCGGAGCAGTAAGAAATGAAACAAAACATATTTGATTACTTTTGAGAAAAGAGACAACCTGTAGCCAATACATTTGGCTCAGGAGATGGAAGAAAAGAATGTTCACATCAAATAATGGCAGATGTTTGACCTTTTTCTACAACACTAGAATCAAATTACTAGTAGTATATGAATTTTTTTTAATTTTTAATTTTTAATTAAAATTCTGAATGATTGTCGGTTGTTTTTCAAATTTGGGTTGTATGATCTTCCTGGCGAAAACACTTGCGCTTGTTCTGCTGTTCCTAATTAGTAAATTAAGTTGTTATACTCTTTTATCCTGCTTGAGATGTGAGTCGGCTATGGGCTGTAATGTTGCCTGAATAGGGAGCTAAATGTGCTTTTATTTTGTTCATAAATACATGTTTATTTTTTTTTTAGTAGCTGATTTTTAACTTATTTATTCTGTTGTCGAATATGGGGCTGTTAGCCATTTCTAGTTTCCAAACAAATTTCTGAAGCTATGGAATGACATTTGGTTATTGGTGATGTAGGAAAAACATTTACGTCTTGCCGAAGCGGCGAATGACCTTCCTGAGCAACAAAGAGCTAGCGCACAACTTGGTCGAACGTACCATGAGATGTGTGTGCAGTCGGAGGATGATCATTCTGCAGGTCGGAGTGCCAAAAAGTACTTCATTTCAGCCATGAATCTAGCTAAGAATCTCATGGAAAACCTCAGCAAATCCCCTTTTCTTACAGAGTATACTGATGCCCATAACAACCTTGGAATGCTTGAAATGGATCTTGATAACTTGGAAGAAGCTGAGAAACTTCTTACCAGAGGTTTGAAGATATGCAATGAACAAGAGGTTGGTGAGAATGATGATAGTCGCTGTAGGCTTCATCATAACCTTGGAATTATCTATATGGAGTTTAGGAACTGGAAGAAAGCGCAAGAGCACATTAAGAAAGCTATTTCAATCTGTAAGAACATGAGGCACTACTTAGGGGAGGCTAAAGCTTTAGTCAATTTTGGGGTGTTGTATTATAGGGTCCAAAGGTATGACAAGGCAATCAGTTGTTATGAAGAGGCGTTTTATTTGGCAAAATTACTAGAAGGTGAAGATGCTTTAGTCTATCAAGTAGTAAAACATATCGACACAGTCAAAGCAGCAATTGAAATAATGGAGGAGCTAAAGCAAGGTGAACAGAATATCAAAAAGAGTGAAAAGAACATTGAAGATTCTAGGGGGCGTGCACATGAAAGGAAAACTATACAGGAACATATCACATCTCTTGATCTTCGGATTGAGAAATCACGAATGATATTTGCATGGAAAGAGGTACGTGCAGCCAACTTCTTCCTTATCATCGCCTAATTTGTCTCCCTTCTTGAACTGTCTTACAAATGAACTTCCTGATTTTTATCTAAAAAGAAATACAGAACGTATGGAATGTGAACTTTCCTACGTGATCCACCCGTGCACTGCATTAATGGTAGTAAAAATGTATTGTTGTACTGTGCTAAGTATGTTATTTTATTGTTTTGGTAGTTTTAGAATATATCTTACTGGTTAATGGTCAAATAGACTTTGGAAGGGCATCTTTCCATTTTTAAATACCCCCCCACAACCCACCCACCCCCCCACCCAACCCAACCCAAGAAAAAGAAAAGCGAAAAGGGTTGCATAACTTGTTACTGGGTTTTAAAGATCCCTATATGTAAACAATTTAAACTTGAAATTTTTAACAAATAAAGTCACATATGGAGCCTAATCACTTTAAGATGATGGTAAAAGGGAAATAGTTTTATTGAATTTGATGTTTTATCACAATGGATTAAAATGTACCTAAAATGAAGGTTACAAATTACTTTTCAGGAGTACTTTTAGATTTGTGAATATTATTTTAAAGGAAAATGTTTTCTGTATGCCCCTTTCCAACATCCCTGCCAAGATTCACCAAGATATTAAGTATGCCCCCTTTCGCTTTGCATAGCATCTCAAATATGCAGCAATGAAGATGAGGTTTGTGGAAGAACTTTGCGACAAGGAGAAAATTGCAGATTCCTTCTTAGTTATTGGAGAATCGAATCAAAAGCTCTGGAAGTTTGAAGAAGCTCTGAAGTGGTATAGAAAGAGTTGGGAAACTTATAGCTTGATTAGAGACTTTGAGGTAACCTTTTTCTGTTCTTTTTTGTTGCAAACAAATCTGAAACAGAAATTATACCAACATATAATGGAATTGGAGTTGCCAATTTCTTGGTGTGAGAGAAGTATCTAATATTTAATTTCAAATCTAAAACTTTGTTTTGTTTCAGTAGTATCTTGTATTGATGAATATTATTTTGTGTGGTCCGTATGCTTTCAGGGACAAGCAGTTTCTATGATTAATATGGGAATCGCTTTGGACTTTAAAGGTTGTTGGGAGGAAGCCTTAAGATGTTTTGAAGAGGGTTACAGGCAAGTAACACCGCTTCCCCTGTGCTTCTGATGTAAATTATCTTATTATGAAATTGAAACTTGTTTTTCATCTTGTTTGTACATCTAGAAAAAAGTTGTATGCTGGACATACTGTGCATGATAGGAATTAGTGTGGGCGAACCATCAGTGCATGGCCATGTGATCTTGAATGTATACACGTATTTCTTATCTAAATAAAGAAGAAACTTCTCTCATGTGATGATAAAATGTAGGATCTATACTATGTCAAAGACAAGAGGTTGATCAAGGATTTTTTCTTTTCATATATATTCTGAGTTTCTAAAAATGGTTGCTGTTTTAGCTATAAATAGCTGGCTAGATGCTACATTTTGTTTTTCATAAGTTGTATCTTAATACTCTCTTCTCATCTTCTATGCCCTCACTAATTTTATTTTTACTTGTGCTTCACAATGTTCTAATCCAGGATTGCTTCTGAAGCTAACATTGGTTCTGCTAAGTTGTCTGCTATGGAAAATATGCACTACAGCTACATGATCAGATTTGACAACGTTGAGTTGGCCAGGTACTAAGTCTTTTTTTCTATGAGCCCACCTTCATTTTCAGCCCCAGTGAAAAGGTTTGGCAAAAACAAAACTAAACAAGCGTAACCATATAATTTTAAGTTTTTTACTTTTACAGTAGAAGAAGCATAACCTTATTAATTATCAGTAGAAGTGATTTTTGTTTTCTTTACAAGTGTTGCTGTGAGTCGTGGATGCAGACATGACTTCGACATTCCACCTAATCAACATGAGTTTTTTTTAATATATATATATATATATATATAATTTTTTTGTGGATTTAGTTGACCCACAACAGCTCTATGAAATGGATTATGTTCATTTCTTTTCAGGAAGTTGAAAATATCAATTAACAATCTGAAGCATTCATCAAGTCGAGACACTAGGGTGAAAAGTAGAGCAGGCTTTTGTTCTGAAACTGAATCTGAGATAGAAAGCCATCGATCAGATATATCTGAAGTCAGTTATTCCCCAGTTAAAAGTGTTTCAAACTCTACCAGATCAAAGCCACACCCTTCTCAGGCTGTTTTGGATGATGACGCTCCTTTAATAACATTTTTTAATGCTCATAAGAAAGGATGGAAATACGCGAGTTCTTCCATAGCTCCTCGTGGTCAGGAAGTTGGTCGTAAACGCAGTAGTTCTTTTCTATCAGATGTAGGAAATAAGAAACGTCTGTGCAGAAGATCAGTTAAGCTCTGCCATGGAGAAGATTCTGCTACATCAAGTGGATGTAAAATTTTAACTAACTTTTTTTATTTTGAGTTAATTAATAAGCGAGTACTTACTTGCTAGTTTTGTATTTGCAGTTGATAATATAAACGCTGCCAAGAAGCCCTGTGAATTTCAGGTAGGCAATTTTAGTCATATCTGATTAAGTTTATACTTTTTAAGTTTAAAGCCTGACTGGTCTGGTATTGGTAGGATGCTCCGCCTCTTACCTTAGAGGGTGTCATGATTGCTTCCACTCCTGTTGTCGTAAAAAAAAGCTACTGTTCTAACCAATTGATGGCTCCTACACCTCCTGCAAGGGCCTCTGGAAATCTGTTGGTTAACCACCAAACACTGAATCTCACTTCCTATCCTTTGTTGGATGTAAGTATAGAGAACTTAAACAATTACTGTGTATATGTTCATTGCTCAAGCCTGGACTATCTATTCCAAGTGTTTGCTCTTTGGGTAAAAAAAAAAAAAGGAATTGCGCGTACGTATTGTTCATAGACATATAGCATGATTTTATTTTTGGTGTAATTGGCTCTATATTTGTGTAAAGAAGTGACCATTAATCATTTTAAATGATGAGGAGAGGAATCAAGATTTTATTATTCTTCACAATTAGGCATTATATCTTTATGCCATTTATTTTTGTTTTGTGGGTGACCATGTTGTGCTACTTAGTTTTTTGAACTTGATTAACTGTACCACTGTAAGTTTTGGTTTTGTGTATTTAGTCTTTCAGTTTAATTGTCAGTACAAGCCTTTAACGTCATCAATCCTCTGTTTGTGTGAACATCTTTAATAACTGCTAGTGTTGCCTCTTCACCTTTTCAATTATCTTGTCATTAAGTTTGTAATTTACTTTAATTACGCTGAAATTGTTCTATGCATTTGGTTCTGTAAGGAAGCATATTCTGAACCTCTGTTGATTGCAGGGGTATCTAACTATCAAAATCGAAGAGCAATTTGTGCATACACCTCAAGAATTATGCATGATACATGATAAATTCAGCATAGATCAAATAAAGGTTGTAGTGGCATGTTTGTACTACCTACAACTGCCTTCTCGACAGAGAGAATCAGGTATGAATATCTCCTTTAACCTTTCTGTAGTCGTAAAAACCAGCATCTTTTTCTTGAGCCTAATGACAAGCCTATCCATCTCAATGGTGAGATAGTTGATGTTGGAAGAACTTAGCGAGAACTACTAAGCCTTTATCTTGCTATTTGAACGTTATTACATGGATTTTGTTAACTCCAAAAAAAAAAAAAAAGAAAAGCATGAAATTCACGTATAACTGTCAAATAATTTGTCCATAGAGGTTTAAATGAACAATTCTCTGTTTCTTACATGGCATCCTCGCATATGTAGTTTTTAGATACTTATAACCCCACTAGCCATGTTGGTGTATGTCTCCTAACAATCCTTGTCCTTGCTTCACATTCTTTTTTTTGGTAAGAAGGATTTAGCAATAATACAAACAAATTTTGGGATAGCAGAGTGGAAATTTGTTACTCTTTGCCAGTAAGCAAAGGCATGCTGGGGTTCTGACTATGGTTTCTATAACAATCAGTTATTTTGACTAAAGAGAATCCCAGAAAGACTTCCTAATTACTGATATATTTCAAGTAAAAAATGCCATGCTAGAAGTCATGCATTCTACACAAGGACATAAAGTAAGCCTGAACTAGCAAGTTTTGTAATTTACTAGTAATTGACTGAAATGGCGGCATGTACTGTTAATTAATTTTGAAGAATATCAAAACAAGAAAGAGGGAGAGTTATGAAATATACGCATGACACTTATGGATTCACTAAAAGAATCCAAAGAGGAATAAAGAGGATCCTAAAATCATTTACTTCGTGTAGGTTGCTGGAATTAATGTAGTCATACATAGTACTTGTCAGCTTTTGTCTATTGAGAAAGAGTTTTACCTGGAATTTTATTGTTATGGTTCCAAACTGCATTTTAGTGTCCTAAGTTTGCTGGCATTTTGCAATCCATGTCGCTAATTCAGATTTTGTTGATCCTCAGGTCTGGTGCCAGTGGTTCAGGATATCAAGTGTGATGGTATAACCCTACAAACTCTGGAAGCAGAAACTTTACTGAAGACGAAAAAAAATGGAGAGTGCCGATTGGAAGGCATATTGGGAGGTATGTGAGTTGATGGACCATCCTTAGCTTAATCCATTTCTATCACATCTTAATTTTCTTTTGCTGCTGTTGTGGGCTTCTAAATCTTTTTCCTAGAACCGCTTTTCGTTTGTTAACTGTCTCATGGGATAATGATTGCTTGAACAGATGATTGATGAAAGGTTGAATGGCAAGATATAATTTCGTAGTATATCTTGGGGGCCCATTCAGTATATAACTTGTATTGTCGTGATAATCATCTTTTCTTCTCAATTTTCTTCTGTTAAATATGATGTGCCTCCTTTATTGGGTTTTCTATCTTGTACTTTGTTGCCGTTCGACTTTAGCGTTTCCATCATAAAATGGTAGTGACTTGTCGCCAGTGGAAATGACCAACAATGTCAATGCCAATTTGTTTCATTCACCATATCATGCCAGTCAAAGCATGATACAGTACTTTGTTGATAATTTAATTTCTTTTTTCCTTCTCCAAGAAGTATTCTTTGTCTACTTTGTCAGCTCATTTGCTTTGAACCTTATTCATTGAGACATGTACCTTTTCTGTTGAAGCAGTGTGGAGAATGAGGCAAACAGTGAAGCTATACAGTGATTGCTGCGAGGAACATTCGGAAAGGCCCTGCCTGAAAGTTTTGAAGAACTTGTTTAATCCAGAGGTAAGATTTGATAACTTTTAGTTCTTTTAAGGTGCATGTTTGCTTTTAATTGAGAAAAAACATTACAGGACTCGATCATTAATTCTATCACCCTTGTAAACTACCCACCAAGGTAGGACAAAGATCCAATGTAAACACTTTGTTTATTGTCAGGCGATAGAAGATGAAATTATAGCCTCACACTGTGGACTGCATGATGTATCAGTTGCACCACTGCTTGATGTCTTACATGGACATAAGGCAGCCGCTGTCATAGACCTTTCTCACAACATCCTTGGTAGTTATTGTTCTTATAGTTTTTATTAATATTTTTCAGTTCATTTTCTAATAGAAACTAAAAGGATTATTTGTACCTTCATATTTTTGTGAATAAATTGTCCTTTCCTTGATCTATTATCCAATAGGAACTAAAAGGATTATTTCTACCTTCATATTTTTGTGATAAATGTCCTTTCCTTGATCTATTAAACAATAATGCCTTTGGAATTTCCAGGATACAGAACCATGGAGAGACTTAAGCAAGTATTGTTGTCATCAAAGCATAACTGCATTACACATTTGGATCTGCACTGCAACCGACTTGGTTCTTCAGCTCTATGCCATGTTTGTTCCATCTCCATTTTTTTTAACCCCTAAATTTTTTAATTGCAAACTCGTGTTGACTTTGGAAGTGGTAGGGCTTTTTAAATGTAAATGTAGAAAATCCTGAAATTGAAGTTACCATACAACAAAAAGTTAAATAGTTAAAAATCAAAAGAGAATCGAGTAAGAAGATTTATTTATTTATTATTATTATTTTTGGTTTGGGACATCTTAGAGCATAGCCCCATTTAGTTCGAGCAGGCATTGACAAAGAGAAAATTTATGTTCCTATATAGCACAATGATTTGTGGAGATATATGCTATATATATGAAGATTGTTGCTTGAATTGGACCCATGTAGTGTTTTTTGCTTCCGTATATTTTTTTGAGATGCTTAAGTAACTTGATTATCTGTTTGAGCCTTCATCATTTGATATATGGATTTTAAACTTGCTTCCAACTTGCTGTAAGTCGTCGAACTCAATTATGATTATCCTATTATGTGTTGATGATTTGATTTTCATGATGCGGCTACTTATGTGTACCTTTTCAGGTTCTTTTGTTTCTCTAGAATTTTTATTACTGTAATATCATACCACAGCATTAATAAATATCCGAATCTCTTAACTGACCTTTCTCTGTTATTATTCTTTCTCTGAGTTTGCCTCTCCATGCATTCTTCCTTGGTTCTGTTCTGTGTTTTTTTTTTCTCTCTATCATTTTGGTGAAGGTGGAAGAGAGACAATGAAGTTCTAGAATTGTTTTTTGCTCTTTGCTTTTTTCTTTATAAGTTTATGACTTGATTAATTTGTAGTGAAGAAAATACTTGGAAACTTTCTACTTGGACTTCTACTTAGTAAAATGAAAATAACCTATGCCGTGACCTGAAAATGTGTTTCTTTTTCTATGATTGGAAAGCATTTGGGTTATCACTTGTGAGGGTAATATAATCTTAACTGCAATGAACTGTTTTCCAACATCTCTCTTTTGAACTGTCTTCCGATGACATTTCCAGCAAGAAAACTCTGATTCCGGTATTAGTGTTCTCTTGACGATCTCTTTCGAATCTGAGAGCATTCTTAAGTATTGAGACTGGGCAAAAAGGCAGAACCAATCACATTGAACTTATAACTGGACTATGTAAACTGAATTCCTTCTGAAAGAGATAAATTTAAACAAGGACTTTTTCTCTGGAGTTTGCTTATTCGCTACACATCTAATCTGAAAAGCTTCTGAACAATGTGGTCGTCGTCATTTTTTTCTTTGTATTTTGACAATTACTTGAGCATGTAATTTAGTGGCATTTAAAAGTAAATCATTCTTCTGTAGTATGCCCTTGAACTCAACATGGATATCGCGGGAACTAGTTGGTTCATGTATGCTTGCTGAATTATGTAATAAATCTGCCACTTTCCAATATAAAGTTTTTTGCTTCACAAAATGTTATTCCTCGATTTATTTCACATGTTTAATAGAGAACTTTGTCTTCTAATGGGCTATAGGTTTTGTCTTTCCGTATATAGAATCCAAATGCTCCTAGAAATTAGTTTTTCAATAGACGGCCTGCAGTTTTCTTATTGGCAGTACTGATTCAAATTGTTGTCTTTACATTGGATTTGCTATTTGCAGATTATTGCATGCCCTGTGCTATGTTGCCAGCTTCAAGTACTAAATGTCTCTGGTAATCGTTTGACTGATTCATGTGCCCGTTCTCTTTCCATCATTTTGAAGAAATTTCAAGGTAGGAGTTTGTATTTGTTCCCTCTTTCGCGAGTTGTCTCCTTTTCGCTTGAATTGTATCATATTGAGGGGTAGGGAAGTAACATAATTGCGACATTGTTCTGCTTTTGATTTGCTTAAACTTAATAGCCTTCCATGTTATATAGATCAGTAACTTGATGGTTCATTTGCTCATACATGGTTCATTGGCTTGAAGCTCATATGCTAATTATGTTTAGCAGCCATTGCGTATCTTTAGGTTTTCTCAAGAAATAATCCTTTTCTGTTTCTGATTACTATTGTCATTTAGAAATCTTTTTTTCTTTCTGTATTTTTTGTCCTTACAAAGGCCTATTGGTTCCAGCTCTTTATAGTTTGGATATCTCCAGTTGCTCTATCACACCAATAACAATTTTTAAGATTGCTGACTCACTTGATTCCGTATCTGCCCTAACAAATTTGTCTATAGGTAATTTTCATTTGGATAAGGGTATTGTTTTAAAATTCTTGCTATTTCTTTTTGTTGTAATTTTATTTATTTATTTATTTATTTTTTGAGAAAAGGGAACAACTCTGTTCATGGCAAAGCAATTGTACAACTTTTGCGAAAGATTAATACTCTAAAGAGGTATCTTCTCTACTAGTCTTAAGTATTTGTATGATATGTTTTTTGCGTAAGGAGATCCAAATACTTGGTTTTGTACGTAGATTTGAAGATCTCAACCTAACTGGCATCAAATTAAGCAAAGCCATGATTGATATCCTGTGTGAACTTCCCAAGGATACATATCTGTCAGGGTTGATGGTTGGAGGCAGCCACATAGGAACAGTGAGTCTTGAGCATTCTAACTTTTGCATATTTCTATGTTAGTATTATTATTATTATTATTATTATTATGATGATGATGATGATGATGATGATTATTTATTTTGTAAATTACTCACTTAACGTGTTTCTACAGGATGAAGCATTGCGTGTAACCTTATCATTGTTGAGGAATAGTCAAGACGTTAAACTAGATTTGTCAGCTTGTGGATTGACACCTCAGTATATATTAAGGCTGAATGCTGAAGTTTCCTCATTCGATATTCTTGTTGAGCTGAATCTTGCAGGAAATCCAATGATTGAAGAGGTAAATTTTATATTCTACAAACTTCATGGCTAGGTTTTTACTTTAATAATTTTCTTTGTCGTAGGATTTAAGTCCTACTGTAAGCCAATGCATGAGTTGTTTAAGTTTATACATTCTCATTAGTCGACAGTGGAGATAAGATGTCACACAATTCGCAGGAGTAAATCCGTGGTAGGGATTAATCAGAGGATGCTGTTATGCTAGTTAAGTGCATCATTTTTGCATATGTAGTTTTCGTAAATCAAGTCTACCATTAGGGTAAGTAAACCCCATGTAATCATGAATGTAATTGTTTCTCGTATATCCCGGATCTAACTCGAAGCATGAACTAGGGTGCAAATGCGTTGGCGTCGTTGCTTTCTGATCCTGAATGTTGCTTAAGAGTTTTGGTGCTAAGAGAATGTCAACTTGGATTAATTGGCATCCTGGAAGTACTCAAGTCATTATCTCAGAATAACCATCTTAAAGAGCTTGACTTGGGTGAAAATATCTATATGGATGGAAATCATAACTCTTTACCTCAGACGAGCCAACAGCATTCTGATTGCCACTTTGTTGGAAATCTTTCAGCTGCAGTTGAAATTGCTAAGCACCTAAAAATGTTAGATTTAAGCAATAATGGGTTCAGGCAGGATGTTGTGGAACAGTTACGTGCTGCGTGGTCATCAAATTCTAGAGGCGCAACAGCTCAGACTCACACTTCAAAGAACGTAGTTCATCTGTCAGTTCAGGGACTAGATTGCTGTAGAATGCCATGCTGTCCAAGGCTTTAGAGCTTTAAAGCTGGGTGATAGTGCAGCTCCTCCATTGCTTCGATTATTTTGGTTCAAAGTTGTTCAAGTTTGTGCTGTGGAATTCTTCTTCTATCTTGAATATTGTTGCATCCATGAACAAAGGATCAAGTTAATTGTTTTGGACTTTTGTGCTTTAAGTATTTTGCTTTGGGAATTTTATATATATTTTTCTTTGCTGCCTTTGGAATTAGGTTATTTTCTTAAAAATTGATAAATATTATCCTAATTAAGATTTGAAATGCCTGTATGCATCTGTTTTCTTTTACTTTTCCTCCCCCGAAGATAATAATAATAATAATAATAATAATAATAATAATAATAGTAATAATAATAAATACATGAGCATAGAGACTAGCTAACAAATGTTTCTGTGTAGTTGTAAATTTTACTTACAAGTAAATACATTATAATTTCCCTCGAGGCAATTTGTTAAATTCACTCTACTTCAAACTAAAGTTTTACTATACCTGACGATCGAGGTACTTCTCTTTCATTTCCCTTGAATTAGTGCGTGATATTTACATGACCAGCTTGTTTTTTGTAGTTAATGTTGATTGGATAATCGTAACAATTTTCCTAGCATTGGAGAGAGTTCACATATCTTACTATGTATGTTATTTCCTTGGTGTGCTCTTATCTGTGACACTTTGTACATTGTATCTTCTTCGGCTTCAAGGCTTGATCTTGTTGGGGAATATCTGCGACTACTTGTACACTGTATTTATATTCACTTTTTCTTCTTGCTGAATCCATCGTCAAAGAGTCATTAACATTTGTTCTGCTGACAGATGGCTAAGAGACTTTTGCTGTTCAGAAGGTCTTCAAGTAAATGAGGTGTATAGGATCTCAAGTCCTTTTCTTGTACTTCTCACTGAGTTGCACGTAACGTGTATGTTGCTGCTAGCATTGTAGAAATGAAAATCACTCTAAAGTTTGCGAATGACTGGAAATCGCTCAACTACCACAACAGAGTTAGCTTCATGCTTGTAAAAACTTTTGCTCCTGTTTTACTGTATATCTTGGATGTTTGCTCATGAACTAGTAAATGTTTAATGCACAATATAACAATATGTTTTCCTTCTAAAATCTGGAATCGAGTTCATTTTGTTAGTTTGGATAAAGTTACTGCACTTTCCATTTTTAGAATGGGCATAGAATTCATGATATGGTTGAAAGTTTTTATTTCTTAGCAATTTACAGGTATTTTTTCCCTTATGAACAAAGTGAAAGAGACCCTTCTACAGCGGCAAAAAGGGCAAAATACTTGTAGTTAACTGTTGTATCTTAGTTAAAATTAAAGTTTGGCTCCGTGGGATGTCTGCTTGTGAAATCGGTTGCTCATAAAATTAAAGTTTGGCTCCGTGGGATGTCTGCTTGTGAAATCGGTTGCTCATCTCTTGATCTTCTCTGCGATTTTGTTTCCCGATTTCGTACTCTTTGATGCCTTCCCAAAGTGTTAATTCTCTTGATATATGTTGCAATTAGGTCGGATGAGGAACCAGTAGATCCAAACAAGGAGCTTGAAACAGTTTGCAAGGCCAAATGTGTTAGGGGATGGCGAACGCATGAGGTATTGAACTGCTGAACCCATGTTGGGTTCCTCATCTATCCTTAGAACTATAGAAATAATGCTCTTTTATTTCAGTTGGGTATCCACCCTATTTTGGTCTGTGTTTCTCCACTAAATTCTTCTCGTTCCTAGACCGTATCCTACCCTAAGTTCCATCACAGAAGAGTATGGTTATCTTTTTGTAGTGCTATTGTTTTCAGTTGTTGACTTTTGTACAGAATGTAGAAGAGGGTTATTATATGTAGAAGAAGGTTATTACGATGAGAATCCTTGCTGGATGACTTCAATCTTTTTACTTGCAAATTTTCTTAAGAACACTACATAGTTGTCTAGTTCATTTTTGTTTGCGCTAACTTTGCGGGATGTGTCTGCTGTATTTGAAACTGTCACTGAATGTGTAATCGAAAATGGTTAGTAGTTGCCGGGTTCATTTGTGTTTGCCTCTGTTACAAAATAGATATATATATATATATATGTGTGTGTATAAATATAAGCGTACATTGGTCTTTCTACGCCTAGAGTTTCTTAATACCGTTCGTAATTGGTCTTTGTAATTGTGTATAAATACCCGTGTTAGGGTTAATCAATACATAAGTTTTTTATGCCGATCATACGCATCTTTTGTCATGGTATCAGGCTAGTCTTTTAGCCGCCGACCAGCTATTTTTTTTTAACAGACCATAAGTTGCTTCTGTTCTCTGACGTTACATAGTCATTCTTCGTCATTGTTTTTCTTTTTTGATCGTATTGATCGTTCTCTTTCTTCTCTGCCGTCTTTGCTTTAATGGTGAACGGTGCAGAAGAATCCTTTGCTGTGAATTCCGGCATTGCTACTCCGTTGAATTCTTCCGCCGCTGCTCAACTTGCTTGCCGGAAAACTATTAACCCGTATGATTTGTCCTCCTCTGACAGTCCCGGCCAATCGATCACTCATGTTCTTTTGAAGCACGATAACTACGACGAATGGAGCTGTGCAGTTCGCACTGCTGTGCCCGAAAAAATTTGGGTTCGTCGACGGAACTATCCCTCGGCCGGCGGATGATTCGCCGGATCTTGAGGATTGGTGGACCAATAACTCTCTCATTGTTTCTTGGCTCAAGAACTCTATGGAACCTGCTGTCCGCTCTATTGTTCCCCATCGTGAGGTTGCCTCTGTTCTTTGGGACAGCCTCCGGGAATGATTCTCGGTTGTAAACGGACCAAGAATTCAACAACTCAAATATGATATTGCTAACTGTAAGCAAAAGGTCTTAGTATGTATTCCTACTATGGCCGCCTTCAACTTTTGTGGGAAGAACTTGATAATTACGAACCTCTACAGTCTTACAAGTGTGGCTCCGGTGATGTTCTTGAAGAATCCGAACCTTGTCGCGAGTCTGAGAAGCTTCACCAATTTATGATGGGTCTGGATGCCACCTTGTACGGCACTCTTCGGTCAAGCCTCCTCTCCCAAGACCCTTTGCCGTCTGTTAATCGAGCTTACTCTTTGTTCATCCAAGAAGAAAGGCTTCGGGCAATTTTTGCTTCTCACGATGAACCGGCTGGTGAAGTTATGAGTTTTGCGGTTCAATCAAATCGACCGGCTCCTGTATCTTCCAATCGGCCTCGGTTTGAATCCAAGCTTCCAGATTCAAAGGATAAAACCGGGTTGTTTTGTACTCATTGCTCCAAACCGGGCCATGATATTTCAAGTTACTTTGACCTCATCAGTTATCCTGATTGGTGGCCCGGTTTGCACCGATCGGGTAGCTTTGCTGGCCGTGGTTTGGGCAGTCGTGGTAGTGGTTCTTCTGCTCGCAGTTCCGACGGTCGTAGTGGTGGTTCTTCTGGCCGCGGTTCGGGTGGTTCGGCAGGTCAGGCGAATGCGGCGGTTGTTCCTGGCTCTCAATTTGCCGGCTCTATGGTAACTAAACATGATAAGACTCCCGTTACGGGCCTCTCTCCTGAAAAGTGGCAGACTTTGATTTCTATACTTAATAACAATAAAACTGGTGATTCCCTTTCTGGTAAGCATTGTTCTAATTCTTGGATGTGTGACTGTGGTGCTTCCTACCATATGACGGGATTCTTACATTCTTTAACGGATTTGAGGACTATTCCTCCATGACTGATACAATTACCTGATGGCATTATGACACATGCCTCTCAAGCGGGCACAGTGATTTTGTGACTTTATCTAATGTTTTGTTTGTTCCCAGTTTGACGTGCAGCTTGATCTCCTTGTATCATTTGTTAGAGGATTCTCATTGTGTTGCTCAGTTTACCAATAAATTCTGTGTTATTCAGGACCACACTTCGAGGAATCTGATTGGTGCAAGTGAGCAGTTGGGGGGTCTCTACTTCTTCCGTGGACCAATTCGAACGGCTCGTGTTTCGACTAAGGCTACATCTTCTCTCTGGCATTAGCGGTTGGGTCATCCTCCTGTCCAGGTTCTTCGGGAGTTATATGTTATTGATTCTTCTGATTCTAGTATTTCATATACACAATTACAAACGGTATTAGGAAACCCTAGACGTAGAAAGACCAATGTACCCTTATATTTATACACATATATATCTATATTCTAACAGCTTCGACATTGTGAGATGTGTATGCTACATTTGAGCTGTCTCTGAATGTTTGATTGAAAATGGGTTGCTGATTTATGCTTGTCATGCCGTGTTTTTACCTCAACAGTATTGGTAGATTGACTTAGTGGCTTAGGACCTGTTTAATCTGTAGCTTGATTCAAAAGGCAGAAATGCTTTATTGATTAAGATATTTTTTCTCCCACTGTCTCAAAATGAGTCTACGACAAACAGTATAATCATTTTGTCATGAAATAGGCATATTAGATTGATGCATTGACTGATATTAGATAATGGCATCTTATCTTGTCCATTTTAACTATGATTTTGGTTTGATAGGGAAATATAGGCAGCTGTATCTTGCTTGGTATTGGGTCTTCATATGACTCTCTTGGCTTTGATTTGCTTTACATCTTATTCCGCTTAAGATCGTTTACAAATCCTCCAGATCTTATATAAAAGCCTTGATTGTACAGGATTGTGTGTTGAGAATCAAAGATGATGATACAGGGACCAAACACTGCACTGGTCAATCTTTTAATTATTGGCACTGTGTGGACGAATGCGTATGTATCCATCTGTCTTTAGGAAGTTGGAACATTGATCTCTCTGTGAAGACTGAAGAAGGAATGAAGTTCAACCGTCCTGGCCCCAAACTTTGATCGGCCGTTTTCTGAAGTAGAGAATCTTTCTCTTCTATTGCACGATTGTTCATTCTTTCCGAGGTATGTAAAACCGTATGAAAAGAAATGGTTTCACTGTATTGAGATTGTCAAGATTAGGTCATATATAGACCACTACAACACAAATAATACAAAAGGAAAGTATTCTATCTTATCTATACATACAAGGTAATTATCGATAGAAATATTTTCAATACTCCCCCTCAAGTTGGAGCATGTAAATTAGTGATGCCCAACTTGGACAGAAAATTATGGAACTGATCTCGGCCAAGAGCTTTAGTGGAAAAATTAGCAAGCTGAGATTGTGAAGAAATCGGGCGAGGAAGCAAGAGTTTTGATTGTAAATGTTGGCGAACAAAATGGTAATCAATCTCAATGTGCTTCGTCTGTTCATGAAAGACAGGATTGGAAGCAATGTGGAGGGCAGCATGATTGTCGCAAAAGAGACGAAGCCAGAC